CCTTACAGCCAAGATCCACCTTGCTATGTCCATTGGGATGAACCACTTTCAATCCCTAAGTATTCCATTGGTAAGAGAGGTATGTCCTACTCGGAGAGCTTCTTTCCAAGAATAGCTATTTTGTGGGACAAACTCTTGCATGGCTACTACTCTGCAAACTATAATCTTAACTTGTTCAAATCTACGTTTAATTGTTAGCTTTCCTCAATTATTTTTTTTCAATCATTTCACCCCAAGCAAGGTGATAATGCCACTAAGACGCAAGGGTTGACTAAGTGTGACAGAGAATGAGACAACCTTAATGAAGAGAAAGGTCAATAAAAGAACAGGATCCAGGAAAACAGAAAATGGCGACTGGTGTTGCATTTCAATTTTTGAAGGTTTTATATTGTAGGGAAACAAGAAATCAGAAGAGGGTTCTACAGGTGAGAAAAGAAACTATTAGAATGGTACATATGGTTGCAACTCGGTAGTTCTATGGTAAAATGGTGAAACTTATTTGCCAATCTGATAGCATGCTTAAATTCACAGAGTCAAAGTACCAAGTAGGGAACCTCATCAGACAAATGCTATGAAAATATTTGTAGAAAAGACAGAGGGAAGCCACACCATGTCGGTAAAAAAGTGACTGAAATCGAGATGCCAGGTCAGGATCAATTACATTCCTCATAATATTCACTTCCTAGTCTTATATTGATATCACATACCTCGTTCAGTAACCCTCTACACTGAGTGGCTCTTGGGCCTTGTACTGGATGAATGTTAATATATATATATAAAAAAAAGATTAGTTTAATATGGGATGAGTTGAGGTGATGTGCTTTTGATGGGACAAATATTTCTATGTTGAATTTTCTCGTCAAGTTGTCACAGTGTTATTGTTTAGTTGTTACGTTACAGAAAATAAAATTATATAATAATCAAAATTCCACCATTTCATGTCAAATTAAGGACTTTGTTTTGATAAGAAATTCTTGTTTCTACCAAATGTCTTTCCAAAGTTTAATCATTCTTTAGGTATATCAGTGGTACATTATTATAATCATATTTTCACCATGCCACAATATGTGCCTATATACATCCAAAGAAACCAATCTTTTAGTCACAACATAGCTTGTTATCTAAGATAATAAGAAAATAACTGTTTCAACCTTTTTTCCCTTTCACCTGGCAGGCTTGAACTTCCTGCAGGTGTCTCTTGTTACAAAAATAGTCAAGGCTAACATTTTGGTATTACTGTATGATTAAAAAGTCCAATAAGCTACACCCCACCTATGCCACAAAACAACAACCTACTAGTTTTAATCATAAACTGTAACTGGGGGCATTTATGCTCCTTCTATGTCACACAGAATTAACTCAAATATTTCTGAAGTAATTATGAGGGTGTATCAAAATTATTTTTTTATATTATTGTTTGCCCAATACAAGGTCCAAGAGCCAGTCTAAGTAGAGGATTATGGAAGAAGTTGTTGTAACGAAGAAAGTAAGAAGTGCATATTATGAGAATATGTAGGTCAGATAACAGCTGACCCTAAATTTAAAGTTAAGATTATAGTGATTAGGGAAGCATCCTGTCAGGAATCTATTCCCCAAAGTAACAGTTCTGGAGAAGAAAGTGAGTAGAACTTCGTTATCAATGCAATGCAATTTCCAGATCTTTATTTCAAAGCTCATTTCATGTATACACATGATACCATTATATTATTAATATTAGGATCAGCCCTCTGGCTGATTGACATCTGTTTACATTTGTAAAAACAAATTACTAGATTTAGCTACCTTATTCTATCGAATGAAGATAGCTCAGTGATGGAAACTCTGAGACCAAATTGGTTGGGTTTCAATCCTGGCTTAAGGCATTCAGTTATGTAGTTGCACTGAAGAGCTGTGATACAGCGAAACAGTACTGTCTGCGAATGACATATATATATATATATATATATATATATATATATATAAAATACTACTATTACCATCAATACTATTCAATACCTTTCATCTTAGATATTGGTTATTATTGAGATACTGGAAATTCTGAGACATCATTTTAACCTGGACTATTGAAAAAAATTGCAGAATTTAGAAATTGGAAGTAAATAAAATATCTGACCATGGTGACCAAAATTGGTTCAACTATTTTCAAACGTTTGCTCCTACACATAGGTTTGCAAGGCCCACACGATCTTCCAGTGGATTGTTTTCCAATTTCTATTCTATGAGGATTATTGAGGGTGGGATGCTTTGATTGATTGATTACTTATGAGATCATGGCACACCAGAATCATATTTTTTTTAAAAAAATTTAAATATTTTTGAATATAGAAAATGAGTGTCAATGTAATACGTTCATATTTGGAATTTTCCAACAACTCCCAGATGGGTCATGTGGGACTCTGGGTTGTAAAATAGACTTGGATACCAAACGACACACCATTGGGTCATGGGTAATAAATACTACCTATGATATCCTTGCCTCATATATGAAACAATGTTAAAACAAAGTATGTACCAGAATTAATTAAGATATATTGTTAAGACCCTGGGACGACAAAGGAAATGAGGCTTGAGAGCCAATGTGTTAAGGGTGGTGACTGGTCCCTTGAAATAAAAACCAGAATTGTGTGACCCTTAGTTGTTCATTAGTTTGTTAGTTCCTCTCATTCCATATGGAAGATTAGGCAACAAGAGTTCTTCATTGAACATAACCCTGCTGGTCCAGGTCAGCTGGTCTTCCTTCAAAAGATCCTCACTGGTCTTGTCAATTGCATCCACAACACATGACCAATCATCTTGCACTTTTGCACTGTGATTTTGTCTTGCAGAACAGTTGGGTCATATCTCTCCATGACTTCTGTTAGTTATGTGGTCTCACTATGAGATGCCAAGTATCGTCCTCAAGCATCATCAATGGAAGACATTTAAACTCTGGCAGATTTTGCTGGTTTTCTTTCATGTCTCCTTGGCATAGAGTGCTGTTGGTATGACAATAGAATTATATAACCAGAGATTAGCAACTTTGCTTAAGGAACTGCTAGACCAGATCGGTCTCATACCTCTGCAGCATTTCCAATTCTTTACTCCAAATCTTTCGTTGAGTCACCATTTCATGAGATGCTTTAAAATGTAAAATAAAGAACCTGACCATACATTCCTAAGCAATAGTTGACAGTTTTTTTTTCTATGGCTTATCAAACCTTTGTGGGTTATTTAAGCTGAAATATATTTTGTATTGTAGGAGAATGCTTACAGTGTTCAGTATTCCCAACCAGTCCCCATCTAAGTTCTAACCTTGCTTGATGTTACTTAACTTCAGTGATGATTCAGGGATCTAAGAGATAGTCATCCATAAATATCATATATAGAGCATTATATAAAATAAAGATACAGGAGTTCTTGAAACTGAAAATACTTTTCATATCCTCCAATAATTAGTCAAATTGCATTTAATCAGTGTTTACCTATCTTACATAAGTGTTCACAGAGGGGAAAAAGTATGTGAGTTAGAAATACAGAAAGAAAATATGGAAGAGATACTCAATTGGTCTCTACTAAAATTAGTTTAGTACAGCACACAGTCAAATGAAAGAAGAAGAAATTAGATTAGTAAGATTGTATAGCACCAATCACCCAAATTGTAATTGCTTTTCTCGCTTTTGAAAAATCAAAATTTGAAATTCTCATTTTTAATTAACACTGCCCAATGTCTCTGGTGGGAAATAAATTTTGCATACTGGAAAACTGTCACCAAGCAACATTTATTACTTAAATGAATGCATGGACTAAATATATATCCATCAAATGTTTCAACAAACATCACTTTTTATCTATCTATAAAAGGCAGGATGTGTGTGTAACAAATGCTTCTATGGCAGTTTTCATATAGTTTGCAGCCATTTTGTACTGGCCAGAGTGAGAGCCTATAGCTGGCTGCCATGAATAGGCAGGAAGATTCTATTTGCCAGCATGAGAGCCAATAGCTGACTGGCACGAATGTTAACTAGCATAAAAAAAAAAAAAAAAAAAAAAAAAAAATCGATAGCTGCATTAGTCACAAGTGGGAAAAATTTAAATCTGCATGGCACTTTACTTCAATTGGCTCATTCTCTTGACTAAACTCAACATTGATTCTGATTCCGCAGAACTGGGTTGGGTGTGAAAAAGTATTTGTTGTTAACATTCTTTTTTCATTTAGTTTTTCCAGTTATGAATCCTTTTTTTAAAACTGATCGTTTTGTGTTCATTTTGTTTAGTTCTTTTTTCATAACAGATTTAATGTTTAGTATAGAGCTTAGAAAAAATTCACAGTGTGAGATAGGTAAGAAGTAAGGCATGTAGCAACATCAGCACGGCTAAGGGCACTCCTTTAAAGGCAAGAAAGGGTAAAAATATTTTAAGTCAAGTGATAGCGATTGCTGTACGAGTCGTACGATTTTTGAATCAAGCATGGGCAACGCTGGGCCATGCTGCTAGTTGTTTTATATAAATAAAAAAAACAAATTCTATTTGTCTAGCTTAGCTTAAAAAATCTAGTTTCTTATAGTATTTATTATATAATATTATTAAAATGTAAACAATTTGACAGAAGTGATCTGCACAAAAAGACAGTGTTATTTAAATAACAAAGTTCTTGATGACCAAATTAACATTTACAGAATTCTGTAAACTGAAATTGCAGTGATGCATTTATATTTCTAATATCAGACAGTGGCCCAGTCAAAACTTAAGTATCACACTTTTTCAATTTTTTTTTCTACAGCTTTCAACCCCTTGCAGGTTATTTAGTCAGAAAATATTTTTAGATAAAATTTTTTTTATTTTAGATAATAATCATTTAGTGATACAAATCTTACTAATTAACTCTTAGAAGAGGTGGATTCATACAGTTTCCCAATGGTATTTGCGTATAAGTAAATATAACAAACCCAACAGGAATTGGAATTTGGCTTTTCAATTAACAATTCTGAGCCATTATTCATTACACCACCCTGACACCTAAGCTTACAGCACCTAGTATTCCCAAGTGGTCACCCATCTAGGTGATGACCAGGCTCAGCATTGCTTAACCTTGGTGATCGTATGTGAACTGGTGTTTCGTGATGTGGTCATAAAGCTCGACACAAGTATATTAATCTTAAGAGATTAACAAATGTGACCAACTCTTCGTTCAAGTAGGTATATCAATAAGTTCATAACTTAATGATCAAAAAGGCTTTTATTTGATAATAAATATTTTCAACATAATATCCTTCTTCATCAATATAATCCATTGGTGTCTATTAATCACATACATTAAACATGATACAGTGAACATTTCACAGATCTGAAGTCAGTTACAAGGCAGCTATTAAAAGTACTTGTAGTATTATCAGTACTACTAATATTACTAGTGTATGTAAATAAAGATTGTGATGTGTCTGGTAGTCACAAAAAATAAGGAACAATATAGAATGATTGTACTGGGGAGGCCCTGTAGCTTAACTGGTAATGCAGCTGTTGCATTAAGACCAGCTTGCTGTTGAAAAGAGTCTTGCCAGAGGATTCTTTATTTCCATTCTGCAATACTAACAGTGATAGATTGATGGTCTGAGAATTGTGCTAAAAATAATTTAAATTAAAATAAAAGAAATACTAGTCAAAAATTAATAATAAAAATAATGATAATTTCACTAATCTTGCAAGAAATTTAATAAAAGTTTTTAAAATTAAACCATTTTAAATTTTTTTGTTTTCTCTTTAAAAAAACAAAAAAAAAAAAAAAATAAAAAACAAAAATGCCCTTATATGATAATTTTAATCTTAATTCCTCATTTGATTTTATTCTTATAAGTGATCTCCAAACTAAGTTAAAACTTAATAGATAATATCATACAGTCAGTTACCTAAATAATCTAGCTTAATACATGTATTCAGGGTTAATCCTACTTTTGAACCCACCACTCATCCTCATGATGTTAAATTTCCTTTTGTAAGTGATGAAAAACATTAATGGAAAGAGGAGGGATAGTCTTAATTTGTAATGTAACACTGTACCCCAAAATATCTATGCCTTCTTGCCACTATTCTATGGTCTAAGCCATTCAGTTGTCTTTTCTTTTCTAACAGAAGTAGATATGTCTACCTATCACCTGGTTCATTCTTGTTCTTTTTTTGTACAGGAGCAGAGGTTTATCCCTTGTTTCCCCCGTTCCTTCTTCTGAGGCCTTAATAAGAGTGACTGTTAGTGCAAATAATCATTCTAAGTAGAATTAGTGTGGCATTTAGATAAATGTTACTGCTAGCTAAAGTACTATTAGACTAAATTTTGTAATAATAAAAAAGAAAATGTATTCTCTGTCAAGCTTAACATATTTGCTGTCACACAACATATCCATTTTGGGTATACTTCATTATGAACTCTGATTGTCTATGCCATTTTATTTAGGACAATATGAATAACTATATATATATATATATATATATATATATACACGATGCAATGAGAATGAAAGTAATATATAAATTCCAACGTTCACAGCATTAATCTAAAAGAGGGCCTGATATCGATAGTAGAGCGATAATTATTTATTATAATTTTATCATATAGACAAAACCATTTTACTCACTACAAAGATGCAACTTCATTTCAGTGCATTTCAACTGCACTGAAACGGGTGAGAATCAATTCTCACCCGTCAAAGGAAATATATATTTCCTCGCATAAAATTTTACTGTTGTATTATTATTATTATTATTTCCTTTGATTTCTGTTGTATACTCATTTCCTTCTATGTCTACGTCCCAACCAGAGACCTAAACTCAGAAATGGCACAACATTTTTCACTGAAAATCAGCCTAAAACACATACAAGGGGTTTCCTCTGTGCAGAATGTAATGCATGATCTGTGCTTTTGGGGCAATTTATTTTATTATTATTCTCTAAATAACAGTAAGGCGTTTTCAATGTTTTCTATCTTAATTTATAGAGTTGCTTTATGGTAAAACAACCACAATGTCAAAATATGTTTCATGGCAAAAAATTAAAGCCAGTGTTGAGGATGCACATTAGAGTTATTTGTTTTTAAATTTAATAAAATCAAATAAGAAATCTTACAAATCAATTTCTAACAGTAACTCAAAAGCCAAAGATGATATATTAAGTAAAGGTAACAATGTTAGGTAGGGGGTTCTACTATTCAGTGAATGTATTAATTAGTAGCTATGACTTTTTTTTCTATCCATCTCTGAAAATTTAAATTGCAGTGCACAATACTGGATTTTGTTCTCAATATACATATGTAGTTAAATAAATGAAATCATTTTAGGTTTCTGTTGAAAGAAAGGAAATGGAAAGAAAGGAAACGGAAAGGAAAAGGAAACAGAAAGAAAGAAAGGAAAGAAAGAAGGAAAGAAATGGAAAGTACAATGTAGTTACACACAACCAGGTTTTGCTTTCTTTAAAATTGTTCTAGATTTCTTGCAGGAAAACCGAATTTATATATATTACTGGCAAAGTTGGAAATCCAGTATTCTATAGAATGTCTTTAATATTTTAAGACTGTATATAAAAAAATAAAATCATCTTTATACATTTTTTAGGTATTCTTCAGATTACCAAGTTTGTTGTTTTAGGCAATGCATGAGATAACCAAACTTCAGCCAAGAAGGTACCTTGTTACTTGAGGAGTATATATGCAAGGTGCCAAACTAAGAAATATTTTAACGTTAAAGAAAATGTATTAACCAACTGAAAATGGCAATCAAAGACTGCTGTAATAAATCAAAGACCAAAATAATGTCATCTGAATTAAAATATCTTCATTTAGATTACATTTCTGTTCATTCACTACCTATTGGTTAAAGGAATATTTTTATAATGTTCAGATGCTAGGGTAGCAGTTGAATATTTAATTGATGCCCTCTGGAGGATTTATACTGGTTCTTAGTAAAATAAGACTCAAAACCTATGTCATCAATTGAATGTACTATTCTAAATACCTGTATTAAATCAAACCTAAGACATTGAGCTTCAAATGAGAAAAGGCCAAGACTTATAAATCTGACAATTGTTTTGACAAAGCATGTTTGTACTGTTTCTAGCTGTTGTATGTCATGCTGAATGTAAGGTGACAACACACAGGAAGTATTGACTAACATAGAATGGACTAGCAATAAATAAAACTTCAGAAAGGTTTCTTTACATTGTGTGGAAAAGATTCTCTGTATTATAAATCCCCTATAATAACTGGGAGATAAAGTATCCTCTATTTGTCTAATATACTTAGCCAAAAAAATGTTAGGCATTCTATAAGATATCTTAGCTTTCTGCAATGCTGATAGTATATAGATATCTGCTAAACATAGTTTATTCTGGTTACACAGAGTTACAACAGGAAAGATCAGACTCACTAAATTCACAATGCTCTTTGAGATGAGCTTACTTCCTATCATCGTATGGAAGGAATTATAAACCATCTTAGTTTAGCATGGGACTTCAGTAATGGATTGCTTAGTGAAGATCCAATTCACTATACTAATATTGGGATATTGATTTGTTTTTTATGGTTTATCAACCTTTTGCAGGAAATTGTGAGGAAATTGTCCAGCATTTACTACCATATAGGACGATTGACATTACATAGAATCAAAGAAAAGAGTGCTAGACAGCTAACAAAATTTTCCGCTTCTTAGTACCATACTCATCTTTTGGAAGGTGTCTTTTGATATCCCAATGTGCCTTGGGATTTTGGTTCTAAAATTTTCCATCATCTGTTAAAACATTTCCCAGATATTTCAATTTTTTTGTACTTGTTTGATTTTGATGTCTCCAATTTGTAGTGTTCATTTTGGACATTTTCTCTTGCTGATAACCAAACATTGTCTTCTTACAATTGATGGCTTGTTCTTTTTCCTCCCATTTTCCATTACTAATCTTTATTTAATTTTATACAATACACACTAATCTTAAATATTTTGTCTTTGAATCAAAATTGTTAAAATACTGTTTGCATTTGTAAAATTTAGGAAATTGATATAACTACTTCACACAAGGTCTTAAAATAAGTGACAGAAACATTCAAGTAATTTGAAATTGTATTGGTTAGAGTTTCTGTATAAGTAATCTATACATTTTAACCAGACAATTTACCCTTCTTTTTGTCAAAAGCTAAGAAAAAAATTATGCCTTTTAAATCATTAAAACTAGAAATATATCTAAAGAAAGCTAAAACAAAAAGATAAGGCTGATCTTTCTTAATATAATGATCATTGTTAATGCGCTGCTTGTTTATTGGAGTTTAGTCATGTCATCTGTTACTATTATAATGGAATATCTCTTTACATTGTTTTATATAAAAAAGATAAAAGTCTACAACTAATACAAAATACATAGCAATTACCTCATGATAGAACAGTGATTAGTAGGCTATTGTTAGTGGTTTTGATACTTATTGGATGTCCATTTATTATGGCCTTGTGTCAAACTAAGATAAGCTTTGAAAATAAGAGTAAAAAAATTAATTAAGTTAGTCTGCATTACTGACTGGTACCAAAAAAAAAAAAAAAAAAAAAATAAAAATAAAAAAATGAAATATTTTAGTTACATTTTTAGCATGAAAATTTTTTTTTTCCAGCATTTAAAAAAAGATAAAAACAAAAAAAAACCTGTTTGTCAATCTCCCTCTCTACTTCATTTCTTTCTCAATCTTTTTATATCATTCCTCTTTCTCTCCATATCCCTCCCTTCATCACATTTCTTTCTCTTCATCTTGACCTCCGCTTTCTCTATTTCATTTTTTCTACATCTCCCTTTCTTTATTTTTCCCCTCTCTCTCATTCTTCTGTGTCCTCATCTCTCTTATCTCTTTCTAAATCATATCTCTTCATCTCTCTCATATATTTTTTTCTCCTCTCTAGTATTTAAACTTTTACTTGCTTTCTTTTCTCATATGACAGTTAACCTCAAACTTTTGCCCTCTGATTTTTATATTCTGTGGGATGTGTGTGAAGTATTTCCTTACCAGTCTAATTTCCTTTTTATGTCTTGGGCCATCACTTAAATGCTTGCCAGTTGTGTCCAGGCCCTCAATCTCTTTTTCCTCTCCTCACCATTTCTTTTCCAATAACCCAGCCAACATTATCTCTCCTTCCCTTCCATGTTTCCCTGCATTTCTTTGTGCTTAGCAACTACTGTCTGTTGTCTTATTATACACTGATTGACGTCTTTCCCTTGGATTACAATCCCACATAATACTTAAGCTAAGAAAAATATTATTGCTTCTATATCAGTGAGTAGTGTCTACTAGCAAATGGCAGGTCATTTCTAGATTACTCTTAAAAAGACATGGCACCCAGAGATAATGATGCATTTAACTTAACTCTTTATTTTAAATACCACCAAGATGACTTAACATTGCCACAAGTGTAAAGATTTGAATAGGTGGAAAAAAATAAAATATACTGAAATAAGGTGTTTTGATTGATTTGTTTTTTTGCAGGTTATTTATAGATCGTGACAGATATTAGGGAGATGTAATTAAATATACTTTAATGTTTTAAAAAAATTATTCAGTATTATTATTGTTTAGGTAATAAGCATTATAACATAGCGCAAATAGTTATATTGTGTAAGGAGGAATTTTTGACAATATATGCATTTTTTAACGTGTTTATGCTTATTATTTTTTTAAATTTTACCAAAAAACGACATTCTTGTTTTGTAGTTACAGATAATAATATACATTAATTATTAATTTTTTTTAATTAATAACTATTTGTGCTTAGTTGTTGACATTAATAGTTATCTGCTGATGTGCTAACATTTTAAAATAATGCAATAATTAAAATTTAAATTTCATCTCTGATAGATGTCAAGACCTGTTAAAGTAAAGCCAGAAAATATTTTTTGATTGTAAGAATTTTTTGGAGATAATGATTTACTGACACACATCCTATTAATTAATCCATAGGTGGGGAGAGAAGAGGTGGATTCATGCTTTTTCCAAGGCTATCTGCACATAAGTGAATATAATGAACCGAACGAGGATTGGAACTTGGCTCTCTGATTTCCAATTCTGAGCTGTTATCTATTACACCACTTGCATATCCAAGCTTATAGCATTAACTTTGGTGATTATACGAGAACCAGTGTTTTAACATGATATGGCCATTGATGTAATGGAATAACCTGTCACCCCCATGAGTGACTACACTATAGATAGTAACTATCTATATGTATCTGTAAGTCAACGGACTACAGAGACAAGACAAAAAGAGGTAATAAAGTTTCAAGTATTGCTGAGGGCAACAAAAGAGGAAAGAAGATTTTGTTTAAATCATTACACATACTTGTAAATGAATTGTAGATCTACTTTGCACTAATTAAACTAGAATTTGGTACAAATTTGAAGGGACTATTAAAACTAATGTTTAAACATACAAAGTGATTAATTTACTTATTATATAAAATAAGTGATAAAACATTTGGTTATTAGAATATCTGCAATTGATTTTAAAAAGAAATACTAATTAGGAAAATGCTATCTGTTTTTATCCACTGTGCCATGTGTCCTTGAGGACTCATGGCACAGTGGATAAAGTGACAAGACCCAAAGAGTGTGAGTTCAATACCCAGTTAAGGCAGTGGAGAACTTGGAGAGGGGAATTAACAGGAGATAACTGACATCCATTAAACATGGCATGTGGAACTAGAACAGTCTACCCCAGTGAGTGAAATAAAGGGTTCAGTTTGACATTCCAACCACCTGAAGAAGGCATGAGCGTACAACAGCCGAAACGTTGTAATAAACTAGTATTTTCATTTCAATTTCAAGAAAGCTTGTTCTAAAATGAATTAATCGAGTAAATTAGTTAATGATATCGCAATTCTTTCCTTTGATATTTCCCCATTTCTTTCCACTTAATTGATTTTACAAGAGAAGAATTCAATTAGTGTTACTTTTTAGAAAAAGTCACTTGTTCTGTAAAATCCTTTCCTGAATTTGAAGTTTTAAAAAGTTGATATTAAGTTTTTAAACCTACTTCTTTAAATTTCCTGTTCTAAAGGAAGCAGAATTCTGAAATGTTTTTATTAGACACACATACACACACATTTTATATATATATATATATATATATATATATATATATATATATATATACACACACACACAAAAAAAAAATCAAATTTTTTTTTTTTAAATACTGGGAGGAGGAGGTCATTGAATTGTAGTAAGCTGTTCCATTTATGATTAGTGAATATAGTTTTTATTTAATAAGAATATCACCTAACTTGCACAAATTACTACAGAATTTAAAACTTTATAAATTATTCTAATTAAAATTTTAAAACAAATGAAAATTCTTGTAAAAATTCATTAATCATTGAAAAAGATTTTTTTCTTTTATATATCTCCATTATAAATATTACAAATATTTCTGTCTATATTGGATGCAATAAATAATATTTAAACTCTTAAGGCAAAATAAGAAATTGCCTTTTCTTCTATTGATAAAGATAAAATTAAAAACTAATCACAAAGACCAGATTAATGGAAAACAGGTTATTCAAAAATGATTTTGAAATAGCATATCCTGGTTTTATATAGCAATAAATTTTCCATATATGACATGGAAAATTTTGGATGTTATGTTTCTTCAGTATGCCAGACATGACAAGAGAAACAAGATCCAGATTTTACAATTTTTGTTGTTTTTTTTCTTTCAGATCATTTAAAAGTAACCATTTGAGGAATGTGTGTGTAACTAGTTTGTTAGTGTCAAGTTGTTTTGCTCTTATAACCTACTGCATAAAAACCAGAAAGTGACTAAACAGCTAATATTTAAATGACTCAGATTTAGGCATCTTATATTTGCCTAACATAAGACCTGTTTTAGTAAATGTTTATTTATTCTAAGGTTAGGGAAAATTGAATCAACATTAAATTGATGTCTCTGCTGGAAACTGAATCCTCAGCTTGGGGCTTGATGGACTTTCACTATAACTATCAACTCATGACTGTTTGCAAGACTAAATAAAAAAATGTTATGACCTAGACAATAACTGTTAAGTATTAAATTTTTTAAAATGTTTTGTCTTGGATTGGTATTTTTCAAATAGTTAAAGAACAATGTAGGTAAAAGGTTATCCGATTTTTTAGAGTTTGTTTCAATAAAATTTGCTGGAAGTTACAAATAATTTAGTAGAATGTGTTTAACGAATGTATATGGTTCCTGGCATGGGACACATATTGGCAGTTCCACATTTTTTAGTAGGTGTTGGTGGGTTATATATAAGTGTCCTATACAGAGTCTGGCTAGAACCACCTCCTCTCTCTTTATCTTTCTGGAACTTGACAGAATTTCACTAATGATTGGTTGGATGTTGAGAAGGTTATTGTTTACACTGTTGTTCCATAATTGCTGCCATTTTTTTTAATGGTCCTGTTTATGGTGGGTCCAGGAAGTCAGTGTGTGTAGAACTTTTACATTTGAGAGGGCCATGTTCAGTGATTCCTTTGCCATTTTGTCAGCTTTTCCATTTCCTTGTATGCCAATATGGCTTGGTATCCAGCATAGTACTATTACTGCATTCTTTTCTTTATAAATAAAGTCAATCCTATTTAATAATTCATTTATTAAGGGGTTTCTTTTTTTTATTTTTCAAAGCTGTGAGTATGGATATTGAATCTGAGAAGATGATGAATCTATCTGACCCACTGGATTCTATAATAAAGCCAAGTGTATAGCTGAGGCTTCTGCACTGAAGATTGAGGCTTTGTCAGGCAATCTTTTCTGCATTATGTTGTTAAGGATTGCAGAGCATCCAACTCTGTCCAAGATTTTAGTGCTATCATATATGCTTATAATTAAAGTGAGCTTGTAGAACGTTATGGATTTCTTCCATGTAATTGGATAAGTTAGAATTAATTTTAGGGTATTTAGTAAGAATTGTAGTGTATTTCATTAATTGGTGGTTTTAAGAATTAGAGTTGGATTTATTTGTGTTTTGCTGATGAGATTTTTCATGTAAAGACCAAAAGGCTTGATAGAATTTTTTTTCATCAAATAGATTTTTTATTTAGCGTTGAAGGTACAGTGGTAGGCAGGCTGAGTTAGGCATTTGTTTGAGTTTTAGATAATATTGTAATGCCAGTTTTTTTTGTCTCAATTTTAACAGTGCCTCATGGGCTTCAGCATAAAACTTTCTATGGGTGAGGTTTTGAAGGCCAGTCTTAATCCTGCATGGCGAATGGGATCAAAAGTTTTTAGGTAGGATTTGTGGGTCAACACATATATGAAACATCCGTAGTCCAATTTAGTTCTTATTAGAGTTCTATATAATTTTAGGAGTGATATGTGATCTGCTCCCCAGTCAGTGTTAGCCACAACCCATAGTAATTGTAATGCTTTGAAGTATTTCTGTTTTATGGGGGGATGAATGTAAGGTTTTTATCAAAAAAGATTGTCAGAAATTTATGTTGATCAGTCATTTTTATTTTGATTCCTTCAAGTTTAAGAGTTGGATCATTGTGCATTTTTTCTGATTGCAGAAATGGATACACTTTGTTTTGGTTTGAGAGAATTTGAAACCATTTTCGATAGTCCATCAGTTTAATTTATTTAAAACCACTTGCAGCACAACTTGTTGGAATAACACAGTTGTATGTTCTGAGAAAAAGGTTAGTGTGCATATTTTTTGATCTGTAGCAGATCAAAATGTCATCTACATATAATGAACCATGACAACAACTCTTTTGATTCAAGAATTTATTAACAATGTTGTTAATTTTTATAAAAAATCCCAGTGATGGATCAGATTTAATTTATTTGTGGAACTCCTTTTTTTTTTATTTTTGAGTATAATGTCAAATGTTGATCCTACCAGAATGAACTTTGAAACTTCTACAAAAATTGTTATTTATCAAATTGGGTAATCTGCCCTTTAATCCCAGATTGTATAGGTCTTTCATTATTCCATGTCTCCATGTTGTCTCATAGGCCTTTTCTAGATCAAAGAAAATGGCTATTGCATGTTCTTTTTTAATAAAAGCCTCTCTAATGAAAGTTTCTAGGTGGACTATGTTGTCTATGGTCTCTCTTATTTTGGAATCCACTCTGGAGATTGGTAATTAAACCATTAGTTTTGAGGTACCAGTTCAATCTTTTATTTACTATTCTTTCTAGGGTTTTGCATATGCAACTTGTTAATGGTATGGGTCAGAATTTTCTTTTCTTTTTGCCTGATTTGTC